CCGGTACAGGGCCTCGACCTGCCGGCGCTTCTCCTTGGCCCGGCTGATGACGGTCCGGAAGAGCCTGCAGAAGAGCTGCACGGCCGAGGGCGAGTCGTCGTTGCCGGGCACGGGGTAGGTGACCAGGCAGGGGTTGCAGTTGGTGTCCACGATGCCCACCGTGGGGATGTTCATCTTGGCCGCGTCCCGCACGGCCACGTGGGGCTCGAACACGTTGTTGAGCGTGTGCAGGAAGACGATGAGGTCGGGCAGGCGGACGCCGGGGCCCAGCAGGAGTGGCGCGTTGGTCAGCAGGCCGCCCTTGAAGTAGCGGGTGTGGGCGTACTCGCCACAGTCCCGCGCCGTGTTCTCGATGAGGTGGGAGAACTGCCGATGGCGGCTCACAAACAGGATGATGCCCTTGCGGTAGGCCACGTGGGCCGTGAAGTTCAAGGCCAGCTGCAGGTGCGCGGCCGTCTGCTCCAGGTCGATGATGTCCTGGTCCAGGCGGCTCCCGAAGATGTAGGGCTCCATGAACCTGCGGGAGACCCCCCCGCCCCCCTGAGAGTGAGCAGGGCCCCCCTCCCAGCGACGACACAGTGAGGACCCTTCCCGTGCGCGCTGGCTGGGCAGGTGGCGTGGCTGCGGAACCTGCACCCCGTTCCCCGGGGACCCTAACAGCTCATCCTCCTTGGCCGTCCGGATGTTTAAACACAAGAGCGTGCCCTGCTCTCTGCTGTTCACGTCGCAGCCACTTCTGTCATTATTGTTCTTTTTTAAAATCTTACTGGTTTCAGAGAGGAAGGGAGAGGGAGAGAGAGACGGAAACATCAATGAGGAGTCATGGATCGGCTGCCTCCTGCACGCCGCACACTGGGGATCAAGCCTGCAACCTAGGCCTGTGCCCTGACCTCCTGGTTCACAGGTCAACGCTCAACCACTGAGCCCCGCTGGCCGGGCTGTCATTGTTCTTGAGGCTTTATGACCGAGGTCCTTCCGGGCTGGGCCGAGGGGCCAGCAGAACGGGGAGGGGCCCAGGCTGCAGTGTGAGGGGTCGGGACAGGAGCAGCCAGGCCTGGGAGGGAGCCCCGAGGGCGGAGGGCCAGTGGGCAGGACAGATGTCACCCCTCAGCTCCACTTGCGCTCACGCCCACCTGGCTCTGTCCCTTCCTCAACAGACTCTGCCTAAGGCCCACAGGCCCTGTCCCACCCTCGCCCCCGAGGCTGCTCCGCAGCTTCCACTGTGCAGCCCGCCCTCCTGCCCTCCTGCCCGTGGGGCCCTCCTCTCAGGGGCCCAGGATGCTCCCTCCCAGCACCCACGTGACAGTGCCCCGGGGTGGCCAAGGGGTCACCCTTCGCGGTACCCAAGCTCCTGACGTCCCCAGGCCTCCCTGGTTCTGGTCATCTCGGTATAGGGCCCCCACCTCACATCCACCGCTGCTGGGGAGTCAGGCCGCAGCACCCCCTTTGGATACAAGCTGAGTCCGAGGACACCCCCGGCCTCTCCTGGGGCGCAGGGACCCCATCTGAAGAGGAAGGGGTTGTCCTTAAGCTGACACGTGACCCTGCACCCAGGACCAGGGCAGAGGGTCCCACAGCTCGCGCCCACCTGTGCCGACAGCCGGCTTTGTGTCCCAGGTGCACGCGGGCATCAAAGAGGCTCCTCACGGAAAACAGCTCCTTGACGTTGAAGAAGTCCGCGTGCTTGAGGGGCTCGCTGAGGACCCGGTCCTGGAGGTCTGGGGGGGACAGGGTGCTGGGTCTCGCCCTGCC